ATGATTACTATTATTCTACTTCTATTCCTTTCAGTCCCCTACATTTTATTTACATGTAACGTGCAGAGGCATACCCACACACAAAAGTGCAAGAGAAGGACCCATCTCCCTTGCAGGAGTTCGTCTAGGCCACGACAGGCTCGACGTCCACATCGAGCTTACCGCTAATTTGGTTGGAGCCTAACTTGGCGTCGCAACCAGAGTGTACATGCATTGAACCCTCAAAATTGTTCTCCGTCCAGATTCCCTTGCCCCCTTGAGAAACAAAGGCGCAGTGCATCCCACACTCCCGTACCTGATTCCCTTGAACCACCGGGTCACTCCCCTCAGTCACGTAAATGCCGAACTTTCGCACATGTTCTACGGAGTTTTTCTCCATCGCCCCTGTCGACTGCCCACGGAAGTACATGCCAAACAGTACGTCACGAATACGGTTGTTGCCAGCAGTAACAACTGCATTATGGGCGTGAATGCCATTGACGCGGCACTCGTAAATGTCGCAGTCGACCACCTCGCCTGAGGAGCCGGGGGAGAAATATATCCCGTCCCCGCCGGATTCACAGTGATGTACACGGGAACGTCGAATGGTGAGTTTGGCGCCTTCCCCCACACGAACCCCATCCGGGCCATCATGAATGTCACAGTCTTCAATCAGAGCGTGGCCTTTGCGAACGTCTAGCTTGCCGCGAATTCGCAGCCCTCTCATAGTGACATTAGCAGCTATAACAACACCATTCGTAATTACAGCCTCACTTTCCGCCAGGGAATCATCCGGTACTGCGGTGAGTGTAACCTCCTTTGACACCTTCAGCAATTCCTCGTACAGCCCTGGTTTGACAGTAACGGTGTCGCCAGCAATGGCCGCATTCAGGGCATCGGTGACCGAGTTGAATGTCCCTTCACCTCCCGGGTTAACAGTGTGTGTCACGGGTTCCATGCGGTCAGTAGAGCAATTGCCAACCCCTTACTCAAGAACAACAACAACAAGACGCGAAAACAACAAAAAAGCGAAACCGAAAACAAAAATGCTCGTTACCACACTAAGGGAAGTTTAAGTAAATATATATATATATAGCTGGCATTAGTGCAGAGGGGTCAACTATGTGTCCGTGCAAAGGCACACACGCAGTAGCAACCCCCCTCCCCCCACACACACATCCGCAGTATTAGTAGTGTCAGTAGTAGTAGTAGAAGTAGAATACGGGTTTGTGGATATGTGAAAAGGCAACACCGTCAATGAAGCTTGCTGGAAAGATGATCCTCCTCCGATGAGAGCTGCGACATACACGAAGGAGGAACCGGGGCAGTGAAGTGCATTGGCTCCGCAGCTGAATCCGCGTGGCGAATAGACAGAGCAAGCTCCGTGAGACATACAAATTCGTCCTTGTCGCCACTTCCACGAGCACAATTCTCTTGCAACGACATTCCCCAGCCCTCGCCGGCCAGGCTCGCCTTCAGGCGGTAAAAGGATCCCGCGAGAAGCCCATCCGGGTCCGAGTAACACGTGGCCTTGATGACAACGCCACCATCCGAGAAGGGCCCAGAGACCACGCGCATCGCGTAGGCCGCGTAAAACTCGGTAGATAAAAGAGGTAGCGACATCGATGTCATCGGAAACACTCGGGCAAACAGCGTCATTTGCAGGTGGACAGCTTTCGTAGGAATCGTCGACTTCAAGAGCAGGATCAGACCGCAAGAAGTCGAGTTCAGTAGATATGCGGGGTAATGCATCACCCCCACCTGAATCCGCTGGGCCAATAAACGGGCGTAGCTGTGCGTCTCTACCCCAGGCGGTTTATACGCCACCACCGCATTCCCCAAAACTGAGACAAGTGTATCGTTACCGGTCAACCTCGCATGAGGTGGGATGACGCGCAGCATGAAGGCACCTTGTCGAGTCCCGCGGCACTTCTTAGGGATACACGAAGCATGAACCTTGTAATGTCCCTCAACAAAGGCCTTCATATTTCCCCGGTATATGCGCTGAAACACCTCTCGAGCGCTACTTGTCCACGCAACAGCGACACATATCGACTCCCGAGAAGGCGCAGGAGACATTAAGAGTCGGTGGATAACATATTCATCTGTAAAGGCCAACGTCGCCGGGGGGGCGCAGCCGCGCAGTAAGAAGCACACCAACGCATCGTACTCCGCAACCAGCGTGTTCCCCTTGTGCCTCTCCAGAGCATTCCGTAACTCACTTAAATAGCCATGCCCCTCCGCAATCAGAACGGCTAGCCTTAGCAAAGCCCTATGTCTCCAAACAGACTGGGGAAGGCGTTCAAAAAAATCACGCGACAAATCACCAAGTGGGGAGCGTTGCGCTGAGCGAAGAACCGAAATCCATGTGTCCAGCGTCACCTCTTGGCGGCCCGCAATGCATTCCAGTGCGTGTCGCCAGTGCCCACCCTCGGCATAGCCTTGAAGCATGTAGCGCCAAGAATTCGGAGCCGTGGGCTTTGAAGCACTGACCTGTGCTGGATCTCTCGCACAGAGTAGCGTTGTCGAAAACTTTTCAGGAACCTTCCCAAAGCTTTGCACAGTTGCCAATGCCTCCTTCCAGGGTGATGACGCGGGCATACCACAGACCACCGAACAAAGCACTCCATGTGCCGCCTTCGGCATTACTGGAGCAAGTGATGTGTAGAAGACAAGCGCGTCCTTCCAACGCTTGGCGTCTCTCAAGGCATACAAGGTTTGCAAGCAGGCATCTTCAAGAAACAAATCCTCAGCTCGCGCTCGTGGAGGATCGCAGGAGGCAATCATATCAAGCACATCCGATGCACGCCACCATTGTCCGGAGCGAAGTGCGGCCTGTCCCAGGGCTGAAGCCGTCATCAGAGATGACCCTTCGCCCTCGATATAGCCTTCCTTCAGTAGCTGAAAGAAATCCGACGTCCTACCGGCATCACTCAACAAACGTAGCACTGTCGGCAAGGACTCACGCCACGTCATATCTCCCTGCGCAATGGCGTCCTTCATCGACTGCAATGCGGCTTGCCAGACAAGTCGTGTATTCCCAGAAAAAATATCTCCATTTACCTCTTGAAAGGCCGATACTGTCGCGGCACTCTGGTGAAAAAGAACATGTCGAGCGGCAAAGTAGGCCTCTGGTCCTTCCATGCGACCCAGCACCTGAAGCACGGCACTGCGGCAGTGCGGAGTTGAACCAATTCTCTTGAGTGAATCAAGGCTTAAGGCGGTCCCACAGAACCCAACCACCTCTGACAAAGCACGTGCATTTACGAGTGGCGTCAGAGAGATCATGTCTGCTAACCGTATAGAGAGCTGAAATAATCGAAATCCATCGTGGGACAACTCACGTTGCTTGCACTCCGTGAAAAGCGCCAGCAAGTTTTCCTTCGCGCCATTCGTCGCATACTGCATCCCAGCACGAAGGAGCATGGCGGGAGGCCATCGCCCTCTCACGGCATCCAAACTCAGGGGCTCCGTGGTAAACATGTGGGGCCGCATTTTTTTCGACGTTAAGGGAATAAACGTGGAGGAGACAAAATGTCGCTCTCGAGCATCGTCCGTGCGACTCCAGTACCAATCCAGTGCCCAAAGGAACACCTTGTACTCCCGTGCAACCTCGGTCATTTTTCCATCCCGCATCTTACGCAGCGCATTCTCGGCCAGCTCCTGCATAGTTCCAATCATAGACCTCGGAACGCGCCTCCCCCCAAAAGAGGCGGCAAGCACATAAATATCCATCAACTTAAGGACGTGTGGCAAATCATTCGTATTAATGGAACGCGTCGATGCGGCTACCCAGCGCTCCTCCACCATATGTATCACACTATCGTATCCGCCGCTGTAGTATAGCACAGCTGCTACAAGAGCAGCGCCACGGTGATCGCTGTGATCCGCGTGTTTCCAAACACGAAGCGCAGACTCCCATCTATCCCGACAACGTCGTGAGCGTCTGTCATGTGGCAGGGATGCAGATGCCTCCAGGGCCTCCAACGCCTTGCACACCACGGAAGGGTGGACGGTCTCATTCGGTTTTGCATACAGTTGGGCAGAGAATTCATTCAGTGCAGAGACCCATTTTGCCGGCGTGTCTGCTGGCAAGGCAACGCCACGCGTCGAAGAAGAAAGCGGGGGTCCCAACGGTTGTGAATCGCCAACATCGCCAGCGTCGGGGTTTCTCCCGTAGAGCTCAAAGAAGAGCTGCTTGTCCACGACGCACCGACGCTGCACCCGCCAGCGGCAAAGTAGGGGGTGGCGCGTGACGAACCTTCGCATACCATTCGTTCTTGCCACGGGCGAAAAGTAATGCGGAAAGAGCAGAAAAAGAAACAATAGACGGAGCAAACGCAAGCAAGTACTTCAAAAACTGACACAACAACAACGGAGCGCGCGGCAATAGGGCAGAACGGCAACAAAGCGCCGTGTCGCAAAAAGCACCCAATAAAGAACCCTTCATTTGCTTACCTACATACCCGTTACGGTGGCCAAAAAGCATTAACTCATCCTGTAGAAGCAGGAACGTACTTGTGGCCACGACCCTGCAAAAGTCGCATGCTACTAGAGTACAAAATGAAAAAAAAAACGACACTATTTTCAGCATAAAAAAAAAGGAAATCATCAGAAAGGGTAAGAGAGAAAAAAGAAGCCAGCCTTTTCCGTTATTTCTTTCTTATATCCTCGCCTCCGCGAGCTTAGCAGGAAGCATGTACGAAAACAAAACAAAAAAAAAGAGGTGTGCATTAACAATAGTAACAATAATAATGTCCTCAGCGAGAAACGAAAAAGGAAGGAGTTTCACAGCATCACGAACTTTTTTTTCCCCTCTTTGTGCTTTATCGGTGCGCTCATTTCTGTTGTCCATTTTTTCTTCGTCTTCCGCCTTCCGTTGTATTTCCTTCTTATTATTTTTTTTGTTCCTTTTGACTCTTTGTTTGTTGTTGTTCTTTGCTTTTCGATTCTTTGTTCTTTTTTTTTTAATTCGATTACGCCACATCGCGAAGAATGTGCTTGAGAATAGCCCCAACCCCCCCCCCCCGCACCCCTCCTGCTCAGAGCGAGCGTTGTCCTCACCCCGGCAAGTCCTTGTCATCAGGTGCAGCTGCAGGAGTCACGTTTACGGCGCTCTCCGTCGACTGCAATGTGGCCGGAGGTGATCCATTATCCCCGTGCTTAGTGCGCACATGAGAACGAAGCGCGCTCTCAGAAGTAAAGTTTGACTGACCACATAGCGTGCAACTCGGCACCCTCGAACTCTTCCCCTTCCCTTCTCTTCTTGCTGAGTTTTCGGTTCTGTCCGTAAACTGTGAGTTCGCTTGCCAGAAGGCGGTATTGTATCCCGGCGGGTCAAAGAAATTTTCCTGTTGCTGTGTAGCCAAGTACTGCCTCGTTGGCCGCACACCGTAGTAGTAGAGCGGTGCTCCCTGCGGTAGCTGGGTTCCTGGTAGTAGACAAACAAATCCACCTTGATTATCAACAAAGTCTGGTTGTTGCTTTTGCTGTTGAAAGGCGGCTGTAGACATACCTCGCGTCGGAAGCGCTGAGGGAGGACAGTACTGTTGCTGTTGTTGCTGCTGTTGTTGAGGAAGCTGAGGCATTTGGGGCAACATTTGCCCCTCTACTGGGAGTTGTACGAAGTGTGGATGATAATATGGGTTTTGTGGTGTGGAGTATAGCTGCTGCGGGGAGATATTATGTTGATACGCTGCGTGTTGGAAGTATGGCATCTGCATGTACATCACTTGTCCCCCCGGCTGCGCAAACATCATTGGCTGAGTCTGAACTTGTCCGCGACCTTGGGGGGCTGGCATGCCAATCGCCTGATACGATGGCGCATTGACGTAATACGCGCCCCCCGCGGGTCCCATTTGCAGCGTGGGCATCTGCTGCTGCTGCTGCTGCTGCTGCTGTTGCTGCGGTACCGGAATGCTAGTAGCCGCCATGGAGGAGCCATCCCTCGCTCCCTCCACATGGCCTGAGACGCCGCTTTCAGCATGTGGCAAGGACGCGTCGCTGGGCAGTGCAGCTGGCACGGATGTGGCGCCCGCAGAAGTTGTCTCGCTCTCCTCGCGAATGCTCTCCCAGTCTATGCTTTGCAGGATCTGGGCGAGATCATTCTGCATATTTACTGTGGCTGGCGCTGGAGCCGGGACACGGCAAGGGAAGAAAAAGAGAAGACAGAGAGTCACATGAGGGGCAACTTCCCACACCAACGGCGGCACCGCAGACGAAGCACGCGAGGAGGCAGAAGACAAACGCCAAAGAAGACGGGGTACAAACCAAAAAAAAAAGGACAATACCTTCAAGGGTATTAAAGTTGTGTAGTACATGTACATGCAACCTCGAATCCACCAAAAACGAAGATAAATAAAAGGGCGCTGCAACAGGAACGACAACACAAGCGGCCTCACTCGTGCGCACGAAAAACAAAAACAAGAAAAAAAAAGACAAGGAAGCAAAATTAAAAGAACATAATGACAAAAGAAAATGCACACACACACACACACATTGAAAGTAGACAAAAAAAAAATGGACGCTTCACCGTTCAGACAACGAAGTGATGGCTGCCTTCAGCTGGAAGATGGCGCTTTCCAATCGGTCCAGTTGCGTCGCAGTGGGGCGTCGCCCTTTTCCCTCTTCTACATGCCGACGACGTTGCCGCGACAGCTCAACCGCCTCGGCGATCGCCGCCTCACGTTCCGCAAGCGTCGCAGACAGTGCCCGCCGCCGAACGTCCGTACTGCTTCGTGCCGCACATTCCATGCGCATGGCTCGTACGATTAGAAGCAGCTCATCTACCTCGTTGTATTTCCTTGCAAGACGTTCCTCCGCCTCGTGCTGAGTCAACGACAGGCGTGCCATATCGCTGGATATATCCCCCGTCGACACGAGCGCGGATTGACGATGGGAAAAGGCAAAGGCAGGCCCTTCAGTTTCTCCGCTGCGCTTCTGCTCCTCCTGCAGCCTCTCTGCAATTCCTGCAAGTTTTTCTGGAAAGGTGACCAACCTTTTCTCTCCGACCTCCACCGATCTCACACCCACCGCCAACGCCGCTTCCCGTTCATGAACGCCGCATTCACACGCCTCAATCGTTTCCCTACTGCCTCCCAGTTGGTCTCGCAGTCCGTCACCGCCCCCGGTCGCCAGGGGTGCGCCAGGCACTTTTTGCAGCCCCGCCACCTCCCGTTCCCTCGGCAACTCATCCTCTGCCTTTGCCCAGCCAAGCCTCCATTCCCCCTCCCCCTGCCCCTTGCACTTCATTTGGCTACTCAGCTCCGCCTCCTTCACTTTCAAGGCGGCAGACTTCTTCCTTAGTCTGAGACCAGCTGCCTTCACCTCCTCCAAAAGGCGGTGGATCTCCCCTCCACGGCTGCGATACTCCGCGAGCTCCGCCTCCATGCGCTGTAACTTTTCCTCACGGCTCCGGTAGTTGACCGGAGGGGGAAACGGCGTCGTCACGCCTGCCGCCGCGGCGTACACCTCTCGCAACTTGCGGAGGTTGTGCAGGGGCTCCTCAATGCTCGGAAAGAGCTGCTGCAGCAAATCAAAGGTGGGGATAACAAAAAAGTCGAGGAAAGGAATCTGCGAACTCTCCACCGAGGACGTTTTATCAAAACCGGGCGTCACTGGAAGACCGCGACGACGCTCGTCTTCCGCCTGATCAGCAAACTCCTGCAGCACCACCAACCACCGCTTTGCAATGACCACGCCACGGGAAGGTGCACCAATGTCAGCGGCATGCAGAATAAAAGAAAGGGCCTCCAAACGGTCGTCTTTACGTGTGCAATCCAAGCCGCCAGTCCCCACCTTTGCCCCCAACTTCGCAATAGTCTCACGGTGCAGCGTCATATCTGTGCGTAGGATGAGGTGTGTCACAGTGTTCTTGAACTCCAGAAACGACGCATTGTCCATGGAACTGGTAAAGTCAAACTCGGGCACAGTCAATAGTTCGAACGCGGTTGCTGCATGAAGCTGTTCCAGGATGCCGTTGCCACTAAACTTGTAACTTACTGGGTCTTGCACGGCGGCCATGAACGCGTTTGTGCGGCCCGGATGACGAACATCGTGCGCCATTGCAGCAAAGGCGACCGCCTTAAGTTCTAAAGGTGTCACGTGATGCATCAAAGGGGTAGCGGCCGTCACAAGAGAAAAAACGCCTTGAAGAACATCTGCTGCATGTGTTGCATTATGATAAGGGTTTGGTCTGTAATTGTTTTCCATGGCAGCGGCCAACCTTGCCCACGTTTGAGCTTCATCTTGGGAAGAAAAAAAATTCCACGCCTCCGCAACATTCATCGCAACGCTTTGAAGCACAGATGGAACACGCGAAGCCACCTCAAAGCTATCAAATTTCCAATCTCGCAGATTAACCTCCAAACCCAGCGCAGCGCAAGGGTTCGGTGGGACAACGGTGAGTACCGTGTCCTGCACAATGGATGGAGGAAGTTGCCGCGTTGACAGCATCTCCTTACGCACATCTCCTGTAGCCGTTCCCACTCCTCTTTGGGACTTTAGTAGTCGGGCCACTTCGTCTTCATACATGCAGATGCGTTCTTGGAGAAGCTTCACGCTCGCTTCGCTGGAGTTTGCACGAGCCACTGCATTCTTTAACTCCGTCTCAATCGCCCCCAGGCGGATATGCGCCACGCCCAGCTGGTCACGCAACTTCCTGACATCCCCCTCGGATGTTAGCCGGGCCTCGGTTTGGTTGCAAGCATCTTTTTTCCCTGGCGCAACAGAGGCGGCAGCCCGATCACGCTCCACACGGAGGGCCTGGAGCTCGAGCCCTTGTTCCCTGAGGTGTCTGAGCAAAGAGTCATTCTCTCTTCGCAGCAGTTCCGACCGGTTCAGAAGGTCATCCACGTACCGTTGAAGCCCTGGTGACGAACCGCTTCCCGCGCCAACGCCCCAAACGTCGTGTCTCCTTCCATCACCTTCGGCCCTTACATGGGCCACCCCCGCACTTTGCCCCCGTGCAGTAGGGGGGGTCGGCGTCCGGGGCGGGGGTGCAGATGCGGCGCGAACTTCAAGCAGCGGCAAACCCGCCGCGGGCCCCGTGGGACGGTTGCTCTGAAGCATGGAGAAGCAATCTATACATACCTTCGACGGCACATCACCGTCCACAATGGCGCACTCGGCCTGCACGCAGTCGGAGCAGCAGAGTTTCCCGCAGCATGGGCAGTTTGACTTGGCGACGAAGAGGGAGAATCTCTTCCCGCATGTTGCGCAGCTCTCGCCTCTCTCAACCCATCGACTCCGCGGCACAGGAAGCCCAGGGATCTCCGACATGCACGTCAGCAGAAAACACAGTCCCCAAACTTCTCTCGGCACCAGCAGCTCCAAAGCCAAGATGCCGGCAGCGCAAGCACGCACGCACACGAAAGGACAACAACAAGAACCGAAACAAAAACAAAAACAGGCAAATCGAACAGGACAACAAAGAAGAAAAGAGTGAGCACGACAGAGCCATAGTGTGTGCAATGAGTTGTGCTTCACGTCGGCCACGCATGGAGTTGTTCCCCGTCCCACCACCCTCCATCCCCGCAAAGGGGAAGGGGAAGAAAGCAAAGAAGAGGGAAAAATAATAATAATAACAGCAATGCTCTTCACACCATCATTTTTCTTCTTCTCCACCTCGTAATGTAAGGAGGGAGGATTGAGAAGCGAGGAGGGAGGAGGAGGAGGAAAGTGGTTAACAACGACGCAATAACGAATGCGAATGCGATCTGACCAAAAAAAAGAGGCACAACAAAACATAAAACACACTGAAGTAATTCAGCAAAGGCCATAATTTGTAAGTTTATACTGACATAGTAGTGAGGCGGCATCCTCGAGTTCTTCGAGCGCAATCTGCACACCACCAGCGGAGTGCAATTCAAATACGGCGGCGATGTCTTCGATAAATCTCGATTTTGGACGCATCGTTGGAGACCCCGCCGGCAAGTCCTCAGGAGCGGCTTCACCAGTCCGCGCAGACTGCAGGCTCTGTTGCAACTCAATCACGACTGGGACGTCATCAGTGGAGGGAGCTTTAATGCCACCAAAAAGTTGAAAGCGCTTGCGGAGCATATTTTGACGCAGTTCTGCCATATTGATCTTGCTCTTTGCACCTTTAATGCGTTTCATGGCCGCTACTCGTTCCTCAGGGCTAAGTTCTTTCCCGGCCCCTTTGCCCAGATTCTTTCTATTCGTGACTACTTGGTTACCTCCTTTCACCCTGCTTGGAGCCCCCCCGGCCACAGCTGACGGTCGCCAGTCATGTTTGCGCGGATGCTGCTCTTGCGGCGGCGACGGCAGCGGCGCCCGTGCCTTTTGCTTTACCTTCGCCTCCTCCCCCAGTATGCGCTCATCCGACGGGGGCCAAGGTGACTTCTTCTCCCTCCTACAAGCAAACTCCGGGCCATAGTACTGCTGGATGAGCCGACCCCTTGAGGGCTTCTGCGAGGGATGGGATGGGTGACTTACAGGCACGACAAGGTGGTTGTCAATCAAGTCCTGCGCCGTCGGGCGATCGCGAGGATCTTTCTTGAGCATCCCACGCACAATCTCCTCAAAACGCGCGTCTAGTCCCGTGTTAAAGGGGGCCACCTCCTTGGTGAGAATTTGCTGGATGAGACCGGGTAAATGCTCTGCCTCGAAGGGGTGCCGTAGGGTACACATTTCGTAGAACACGACACCGAGGCTCCACACATCGCTGCGTTCGTCGTAGTCCTCCTCCGCGCACACCTCCGGCGAGAAGTAAAGCGGGGTGCCAATCATGCTGTGGGCCGCGACGGAGGTGCTCGTAAGAACCGTGCACACCCCGAAATCCCCCAGCTTCACGTGATTTTTTTCGGTAAGAAAAATGTTGCTTGTCTTGAGGTCACGATGCACGATGGAGCGGGAATGCAGGTAGGCCAGCGCACAGAGCAGCTCCGCCATCCACTCGATGATGACATCCTCCGGGAAGGGCTGCCCGCCCTCCGCCCGCTGCCGCTCAATGAGTTCCTCCAGCGTCGAGGCGCAGTGCTCCATAACAATATTGACCGAGTTCGCGCCGCTAAAACTTTCGCGAAACTTTACAATATTGGGGTGATCCACGCCATTCATGACAAGTATCTCCTTCCTCGCGCGCAGCTTTTCCTCGTCACCTATAGACTCCAGGGATATTTGCTTCAGCACATAGGGCTTCCTCGTAACCGCGTCGATCACCTCGAACACGGTCCCCGTCGAGCCCGCGCCCAAGTATTCGCCAATAACGTAGCGTGCAAGCTCCGGGGCGGACGTGTCGCGCGGCCGCATCCTAAGCAAGTGCCGCCCAGCCACAATGCAGAGGCAAAAGCACGCGTGTTGAGCACTGAGGCCTCCATCCCACTCAAAGTCAAATGGAAGGAAAAGCGGAGGAGGAAAAAAAAAAAACGACAGAGTGCACATACACACGGAAACGTGAACATAACAGTAAAAATTCCCTTCCACCTCCAAAAAAGAAAAAAGAAAAAAAAAGGTTGGGGGTGGGGGGAAGAAGAAGGAAAGAAAGGAGCAACGCACATGACATAACTATTTTGTTTTGTTGTTGCTGTTGTTGTTTTCGTCGCTTTTGCTGCCACAGTTCCATTTTCGCTCCACGTCTATACTCCGCTTCCACGTTTGTCAGTATGAAACGCTGTCACTCGGAGGTGCGGCGGCGTTTTCGAAGCAAATGCATGTAATACGGCCTAAACTCCGCTGGGATGTGCTGGCCAAACGCGTTCAGCAACTCCGCGTCCCGCTCCCCTGCAGCCTCCTTGAAGAGCGCCGCGACACCCTCCACCGCGCCGGAAAGCGCCCGCTTCATCTCATCGCTAGAGAGCGTGGAGGTGTTGCGGGTGGTGGCAATTTGTCTTAAGTAATCCCGGAATTTGTCGTAACTTGCAGGCTGCAGCTGCCGCTTTAAAAACTGACAAAATTCCTTCGAGGTGGTCCCCACCAGCGCCGTAGACGCCTCCGCGGTGTCAGCAGTGGGCAACGCAGGCAGCACCTGCTTCCGGAACAGTGGCCGCGCCGCCGTCGGCACAGTCGCTGCCGCGGGCGTCGCCTTTGCAGCGGCGCCTCCTCTTTCTCCCCCTCCCCCCTCATTCGACGTCATGGCATTCGTGGCGGACACACGGCAAGGCGTCGCAGGCATCTCCCTCGCGTCTGCGATGCGACGACGCACCTGTTCATTCTCTTCGGCCCTCGTCCGGCGAAGTTGCTCTGAGGCAAACCGCGACGCCATCTCGGCTGAATCGGGAACGTGTTCCTCCCTCGCGGACACGCGTTGAGCATCGGCCTGCACATCACTCGCCTTGTCCGCAGCAGAAAAGGGGGAAGCAGAAGGACGCGCAACGTCACCTGAGCGTCGTCGAAAAGAGGCAAAAAACTGCGCCACTGCCGCGTATGCCTCACGGAACTCGCGATGAACGGTGCATCGATCCGCCACCCATTCCGAGAGCCCACCCAGGCGTTCGGCAAACCGCTCGTCCGCAAGCAAAACCACGCCGTAGTCGTCCTTGTGGCGGATGACGCGGCCGACGCACTGATTAACGGCACGCATCGCCTCGTTAACATACCAGTCATCCCCGGTAAAAAGTTTTCCACGCACCTTTGGCCGATGCGACGCCACCCGCGTCAAATACGCCCGCTTGAGGCGCACAAACAGTTCCGTGTGGTTTGCAAAGGGTATCCCCGCCACCACCACGCAACGACCATGGTTGTCTGCAAAATCAATACCCTCGCTGATTTTCCCACGGCACACGGCTAGTAACACGGCGCCACGCGACGGGGCGGAGTCCACCTCGCGTTGAAAACTAGAGACAATCGTCTGAAGATTGGCCGCCTCCACGGGTTCCACAAAGACCGGTTTCAGCTCCTCCAGCATTCCCCAGACCGTCACAGTGTCGCCCACGCGACCGCTGCCAGCACGCCACAACTCAACCGCGGCGTTCAACGCCACGTAGCTTGGGAAAAACACAAGAACACCGCCAGGTGTGTTGCGTGCGATGTTTACTAGCGACATACCCAAACCCACGCGGTAGTCGACACTGTTGCGGTACGCATAGCCCCCATTCAGCTTTTCGCCACTAGGTCCTTTGCATAGCACGCACCCAAGCACCTGATTCCGTTGAATGACGTGGGCGCCCTTGAGAGCAACCCCAAATGGGACCCCAAGTTCCGCGGCAAAGTGTTCCAGCGGTGAGAGCGTCCCACTTGTGAGCAGCAGCGAACGAAGCCCAGTCACGAGCGTCTGCACAGCGTGTGAGGTGTCAAGGCACCAGTACCCAAGCGAGCGCTGGTTGGAGCCCCGGTCGGTGGATTTCGTCCCCTGCAAAACAAAGCGACACGCCTCATCATCGTCGCCGTCTCCGTCTCGCTCAAACACAAACGTCAGGAATTGCTGAACCTTTGAGAGGCCCGATGCGGCACTCTCACTTTGCGCCAACGCGGCGATCGCCTTTGTCATGACGTCGTTCATCCCGCCGCCCTGTCGATGATTGGCGCCGCCGAGAAACAGATCCCTCGTGATGAGTGCCTTCGCCAGAAATGGAAACATGTACGAACCCTCTTGCACAATTTCAGTCACCGTCGAGGCGCCGATGTCCTCAGCGCGAGACGTCACCTCCTCCGTCGTCTTCTTATCACCCCCACGCTCCTCAAGAATGCAGGATTCCAAGCGACACAAAATAATTTTCAGAGAGGCAAACTCCTGTTCTTCCATTAAGCCATCCTGTGAGTCGTCGTCCGCAGCAGCGGACTCCCTCAAGAGCCGTTGCATTGCGATAGCCCTGGAACAGTCATGAATGGCATTTGTCAGTTCAATGGGCTGAAGATTCATGCACGACGAGGAGGCTAAGACAGAGGGCAAGTTGTGTGCCTCGTCTACAATTAAAATGGATCCCTTTACCTCAAACGGAAGCTGCTTGCGGATGGAGACATCAAACAAGTAGTTGTACGGAAGAAACACCAATTCCGCCTCCTTTGCCTGTTCTCTTTCCGAATAATACGGGCAGTAGCCGCATTTTCGACCGTCCGACACCAAATCCTCCATGTCGTGTATCCACTTTTCGTCCTGCATGACTGCGTTGTGGCTGCTCCGGGCCTGAAAGCCGCGGTAGAAGCGGCAGTTTTTTTCCTCCCGAAGTGTGTTGCACGTACCTTGCTGCGCTTGGGCCGTCGGAAGGCGAAGCACCTGGGGGTTGACACACATGTGTTCTCTGGAGCCTAAAACCGCCATTGCAACGGCACCAGCATAACGTGTTCGCTTTAGCTCCCGAATTACTTGACTCAACTGAGCATGTGTACGGCTGCAGTATATTACTCGAGGCATGTCGGCTCCTTCGCTTTCAGGTCCCCGCTGCTGCCTCGCCTGCCTCTTTTCTAGCCAGGCGAGGACAGAACAGAGGAGGGAGAGCGTCTTGCCAGTCCCTGTGGGAGACTCCAGTAGGGCGTTGGCACGGCCGTTCAAGGCGTCGATAACGGCACGCATGTATTCAACCTGTGCCGGATACGGGTTAAAGGGAAACGGCACCTCGACATCGCCGACAGGGATAGTGCACATCGTCTCAGCGCACTTGGGTACTTTGCTGTGTGGTGCTGCTCAACATAACACACGCAGGAAGGGGTGTTGTATACTACCCTCCCAACCTATGCGACTAAATGCTGAAACGTGCCTACATTGGCAAATAACCAAAATCAAGAAAAAAAAAGAAGACATAAAGAAACAGAAAGGCAATGTACTGCATACTCTTGCCCTTCCCTCCCCATTGCGGCTATTGCTGTTGCTGGACTGACCGTGCACGATCCGACACCGCGATGCTGTTCTAAGAAAAAAAAAAAAGAGTGGAGGCCTCATTTTCGAGTCTCTCCCTTCCCTCATCTACCTCAAACCCGCCGGCACCCAGCTGAAGGTAAAAAAAAAACACGGAAAGGAAATAAACGAAGAAAACAACAACAACAACCCTCATGAGAGGCTGCATCCGTCGCTACTGTTTGTCCTCAACCAAAATAATGTGATAACCAAATGAAGTCTTTACCGGCTCCGGTGTCATGCCGCCCTTTGGCAAGGCAAAGGCCGCGTCTTGAAAGGGGCCAACCATTTCACCACGCCGTTTCCATCCCAGGTCGCCGCCGCTGCGGGCCTTGTCCTCACTGTACTCCCGTGCAACGTCGGCAAAACTTGCCCCTTCGTTGACCTTGTTCAACGCCTCCAGGGCCCGGCCGTGCTTCTCGCAAAGTATGTGACGCACCTTCACCTTGGTGTACCCCGACCCACCGGAGGTGTCCCTTGACGCCTTGCCGCCGCCACTACCCTCACCGTCCTTGTTGGTGTTCTTCTTCTTTTCTTTGCCCATCCTCCTCCTCCTCCTCTTTCTTTCGTTTTTTCCGTTTCTTTGGCCGCCTCTTGTCCTCAAAGATCGAGAGCAATGGGGCAGGAGGGAAAGGGAAAAAGTACAGAATAAATTTGCCTGGGGCTCCTACACAAGAGCCGGCAGACGCAGCCACCCCAGAGGCGGCAGAACTCCTCCCAACAATTCCCTGCCAGTGCCACCACCCACCCACACACCATCCCTCCCCTGTCGCACCCACCCACACGCACGCACACACACGTGCAGGCGGGCTCGCAGTGTCCCTCTATCTATCTCTTCGTATAAAATCTAGTTCCGACACACCCGGAAGCAAAACGCCTAGCGCCGCGTCCTTCGCTGACGGGTCAGCATGGAATTGATGCCAAATGTCGTATCCGTCTCTCTTTCGCGCTTCCTTTCCATCTTGACGGCTGACAACGCCACCTCAGGGCCCTCCCCTGGCGGCACGCAGCGAATGGTCTGGCAAAGAACGTTGGCGATGTCACTGTCAAGTAGTTTCTCGACGGCACGCTCTCGAGCCTCCAGCGTCTCTTGCCACTTCGTCACGTTGGCCTCACTGGCAGCCACATCACTCTCTGCGCACGGCGGGAAACGGGCACAAACGTCATCAATCCACTTCTGCAGGCGACTCTGTAGATTACTGTTCGCAGCCGTAAGGGCGCGGTTAGCACAGAAAAGGAGCCAACTGGGTGCCTCCTTTGCGTAGAAGTACATGCGCTTCTCTAATGTATCAAGGCATGCGTCAGACACCTCTCCAGAATCGGTTTGTGAAATTTCAATAAGGAGTTCACTGGCAATGTACTCATGCAGGGAAAACCGGCTTAGCTCTCGCATCAGACGACTACATCGTGTAGAAGTACGCGTTGCCGTGGAGCGAGCCGAAGCATTTTTATTTAGTGTGGAATCCTCCATCGATGTATTCTCTCCTTCGGCCAGCCGTGCAACTTGCCTCGCCGTCGCTGGATCAATCTCACGAATCTGCACAAGGACGTACGCGTCAGAGAGTCGCGTAGCCAACTCCATGAGACGCAGTGCGACGGTGGGGTTGTACCGTAAGAGCGCTGTAAACGCAACCACGCCGCCCTGAGCAAAGGCCATTTGCCGGTTTGGGTGACTGGACGCGAAGCTGTAGAGAAATTTGTTCAGGAAATCCACCATGTACGCGGCACTGGCATTCCCCTTCTCCTCCTGGCGGTATGCCATGTAATGCATCAAAATCTCGGCAATGATCTCCGGCACCTGGGCGTGGGGAACACGATTGCAGCTAAGCAACTTGCAGAATCCTACCACAACCATCGGGTTCCGCTCAGCACAGTGCGAGCGCAAAAAGGAACGCAACGTGTTTAGCAGGTTGTTGCCACCCACCCTGTGCTCATCCTCCTGAGCCAGAGCACGTTCGTGATGCAAGCGTGCCTCCGCGTCAGCTGCGATGGGGCCCGCCGCACCCGTAGACGAGGAAGTCACAGCCGCATTCGTTCCTGCTGTCTTGGTGGTGGTCGTACCCGTACCCAGTTCCGCCGCGCCAGCGTGTGTATAGTGGCCACCGTGACCAGCGTCACGTGCAGGGCAGTCAAAAAAGCGCAGGCCGTATTCCATCACGAGATCAAAGACTACTCCCAGCGCCGCAAGCGCGACACACCGATCTGAGCTCCCCACAATCTCATTTGCATCACTCAAAATGAGTGGCATAAATGTGTGGACGGTGTCGGGGTTGACAAGGCACTGCAGCCCAAGCGAGGTGGTGGAGGCGACCTTCACAGCCTCGTTGTCCTGTTGTCGTCCTAGCTGAATAATGTGGGAGCAGAAGGTGGGAATGGTGTCCCCCCGCTGCGAGTGGGAGAGAAACGCCAGCACAATGAACTGCATGCGCAGCAAAAACTTTTCGTCTCTGTCCATCTCCTCCTTTAGCTGGTCGTACGCCTCCTGGGATGTCTCCCCGCCGCGTAGCTTCATACGAAGGCGGAACAGCTCTCGTTGCCGCTCACGACTTTTCCTTCCAAACGCCTCCACATCGTCGTAGCCGAGCGCGTACATCTGTGGCAACTTCAGGCTACGAAAGAGTGAATCCAGCGACGCGGTAATTGTCTTTGTCGCCTCCTCCGGGGTGCGTCCCGTCAAGGACTTTAGGGAACGAACAGCCACGTCGATAAACAGTGCGGGGTCGTCATCCGGGACCACTTTGAGGAGAAACCCAATGATGCGTAGCAGGCTGCCGCGGGTTGTGTTGTCGGCGTGTGCCAAGTAGCCGTTTTCCTCGTAGACGTCAAAGGCGGAGAGGAGGATGCGCAAAATAATATCCGCCTCGTCCACGTTCTTGAACTTCACCGCCTTGGGGTCCACGTCGGGTCGGGCGTAGGCGTACACGGTTTCCTGCAGCAGCGTGCTAAACTGTGACAGCGGCAGCAGGACAGCCGTCTCGTCATCGCCCTCCGTGTCCGCCGCCAGCTTCGCGTTCGCCTTCCACAGTAGAAGCGAGGCGGCGGACACCGACTCAAAATTCACCACCGACGTCCTTGCATTCCTGTGCTTGCGGCAGTAGAGGAGTACCTCGGTGGAGATTGCCTCGTACGGCTCAAGTCCGCCTCCACCGGCGAGAACGAGCTCCAGCATGGCCTCGCCGTCGTCCCTGTAGTCGCGGTGCAACCAGCAGTTCGTCAATGCTGCCCTGCATGCTATGGCTACCGAACTACTTGCATCTGAGAGGCCTTGATGAATCAAGTCTGGTAAGGGTATGTTCTTCGCCGTGGCGTAGGCGACTAGGTATTTCCAATGAAATCGGCTAAGCGCATCCCACGCCTCGGCCCGTACACGTGACACGACGTCACGCACGGAACGAATCATTCCATGAAAGTAACCCTCAAGGAACTCTTTTCTTGCGCATATGCACCGGAGTATCTGTCGCCGCACATCGGCAGAATTGTCTGTGCACAACAGTGCCATGAGTTGCTGCGTGACGTCGCAATCTTTTTTGCCTGACTGAAAGCACGAGACGGCAGAAACGGCCCGCTCACGCACCGCCGGAAATTTGTCATGCGCCCGTAGCTTCAGCATCTCCGCCACATTCTGGTAAAAGTTCTGCCGCTCCTCCGAGGTATCGCTTTGGTCCACGGTCTTCAGGAGGGCATCAAACACGGAAACAACCCCAAGCCGCACGGTCTTGTCGTTGGCGTTGTGAAACGGCTCCACTGCCTTCAGCAGGGCAATAGCAATCTCGTCCGAGTGAAACCGCTCGCGGAATCCTTTGCAGACCTCTGTAAGGAAGCTGTGGTGGCGCCTGAGGGAGTCTGGCGCGAGCCGCGGTGACTCCTTCAACACAAGTAGCACTACGCGGCACACGGCGTCGATGACGCCCGTACGATTCTCCTCGGCGTAATTGAGCAGGTTCGTCCTGCATTTATGAAAGTGTGCGGCGCTCTTGTGAATCTGTTGAAATACGCGCCCCACGTCCTCGACGCCGCAGCACGCGCCTGCCACCTTCTTAGGGGGCATTGCTTCCCGGTCCAGCAGTGCGCCGGCGCCACTTCCGCTCACTCGCGCGCTGCGTGCGTGGCCACAGCGGAAGGGTGTGTGTGGCAAGAGGAAGAGGAATAAAAGACGATGGGCTGCAGCAAGAGAAGAACACACAGCACATCGCAGGTAATGAAGGCACGACACAAGTAAATAAAAAAAATGCGAAAAACAACTCCCCAAATATATATATATATAACGACGAGCAAAGATAGTCTTCTCTCTTCCTATCCTTTGTTTTTGGTTCGCGTTTCCCCCCCCCCCCCCCCTATACATCTCTGCGTGACGAGGAGGAGCAAATCGCGTGGAAAACTGGTGAGCTGCACGTGCTACACGGCGGCGTCAAACTCTTCCTCCCACTTGGTGGAGTAAAACAGTTGACGTCTAAAGTAGAAGGCCTCCGTGGCATTGACTTTGCCCATTTCCTTTAGATACTTGTGTGTAAAGTCTCGCACCGCCTTCACCTCTGCCGCAAAGTGCGTGCAGAGTACCACATTCTTTGACGTGGCCACCACGTCCGGGTGTGGCTCCCGCGCCGCGTGCTGCGCCACACTCACGCTGTCGTTGATGCTGCGGAGAAACTGGTACAATACCTCGATGCGGGAGGCCTCGCCGTCGAGCTTCTCTAAGCTCCGCATCTTCACCGAGAGTAGCTTGTAGACCGCCGAGAGCGCCCCCGTCAAGGCCCGGAAGAGCGGGCCAAGCAACCAAAGTGGACGCCTGTACACCGCCGCAAAGAGCCGAAAGATATCGTCGGCGACGCCGAGCTCATCCAAGCGGTCCACGCCGCGCTGCTCCAGAGCCACGTTCCAGATGACTATGAGAAGTTGGGTCACGACCCGTATTTTCTCCTCCTCCACCAGCCAACACGTGTCCAAGGCGTAACTGCGCAAGCAGGAGCAAACCACCGTCACGGCGTTGCCCTGCAATACGGCAAAAATTCCCTCCGTTACCGCCGTCAGTTGGGCCAGCGCGGTGACCGCGTAAAACAGCATGTCGAGCGCCGTTTGGGCATCATGTTCCACGACAAAGTCAAGGGCCGCGATGGCATCCTCCTTCGTCATCACCAGCGTCGAGGAACCAGCGGGGGCGTCTAGTAACTCAAAACCAGGCGGCACATCCGCCCCCAACAGCCAACGAACACCCGCCGTGTTAAAGCTGATTTGGTAGATAACCATGACTGCCATCGTTCTCGCATCGAGGCGTCCCTCAAGATCGGACCGATCATGTATAGAGCGAATTGCTGCCTCTAATCCCCCCTCGTTTATCACGCTGCGACACCCTTGGGGAAGTATACAAAGCGATCGCAGCAAACTAAACGCCTGACACTCAAAGTCCGCCGAAGGCGCACTGTTCAGCGCCGCAACAACAACGGGCACAATGTTCTTACGTAGGAGAGTTATCTTCGTCTCTTGCGAGGCAGAGTGGGCAATAAGAAGACGTAACGCCCGCACACGCTGCGTGGTGCCCACGGTGGGGTCGCTGAGGCTGCCAATCCAGTTGTCCGTGCTAAGCGGCTGAAGCCCACTGTACACCAAGCCTCTGTCACGCTCTGGGCGACCCGCAAAGGCCTTCATGGCATCGTACGGGTGCCGTTCCTGCAGGCAATCACTGACGTAGTGACGCACGTTGCGTGCTGCCTCCGCCATTTGCCGCACGTTTCCTCCCCTCTCCTCCGCCAAGACTGCCACCAGCGACGCTGGACAACACCAAAAAAAAAAAGTGAAAATATATTATACATCGAACAAAAAAATGAAGGCAGAGACAATAATGTACACCGCAAAACGAGAGCAACACACACGCACGGACAGACAGAGATGCGCAGACCACCAGTCAGAGACCAACGTCGACGTTGTACCCAGCATGAAGAAAGAAAACGGAGAGGCAGAGAAAGAATCAAGGAAAGGGGAAAAAAACAAAACGAAAAAAAAATGGTCATGGCCTCCTCTAGATTCCCTCCTACCCAAACGTTTACGGTTTTTTTCCCCCTCCCTAATTGTTGTGATCATGCCTTGCGGGAATAGTTTTATTGGTTTATCCTCACTCAAAGAACAACAACAGCAACAACGGAGACGGGGCCTCTACAAACGCCTGGAAGGTGAAGGTGCAATCAAGAAACCAAGAATATCTCGCACCTTCAGTCAAAAAAGACGACAGGCCAAGATAAAAAAAAAAAAGGAAGGAACATGTGCGCCTGGATGAGGCCCTGCCACCACCACCCCAGACTCACCTCTATAGCGTAAAAAGAGCAACAAAAGCAGACCACTGTCGGGCTCACTGCGCCCAGCACCTCCCCTCTCCTTCTCTCCGAACTCAGGCGCAGATTTAACCCACGTACGCAAACACATTCATAAGCAAATGCATTCAAAAGACAAATGGCTGTGGTCGTCAGTCTATTCGTGTGAAGCCACAAAGTGGCACTCTGTTAAGCCCCGCAAACGCCAGACCCCCCCCCCACGCGCGCAGGCCCTTGGCAGGAGCAGTTTTAGCCTGTGACGGCCCAAACAACCCCGCTCACGCTGCCTTCCGATGCGGCATCCTTGAAACGAAAAATAAAGTTATTGGTACAGCAACAAGGTTGATTAACGAGAAACTCCCTCAGTTAGCTAACCTCAGCGAGTCGCGCATTCCTTCCACGGGCTTCGGCGGGAGGAAAAAGAAGGAGGGGATTAAGAAAAAAATGCATCACTCTCCTCACCCCATCCCTAAAACAAAGGAAGAAAAAGTAACCACAACGTACGTGACTTCTTTTCGGTTGTGTGTGCGTGGTTGTTTGTTTGTTTTTTGTTTGTTTTTTACTCTCTTGGTGGGGGGGGGGGTAGTTCCTATACTTTCTGCCTAATTTGTTGCATCAAACGGGACAAAAAACCCCATACTTAACGGCTCACCTTCAGTGAAGCTTCCAAAGTTCACCTTGAGGGAAGACAAAGCCGTAACAGTGTAAGTGGCCAGGTCCTCTGGGCATAACATGGCATTGATATCAAGTGAAAGAAGTTCTGTCACAGCGGGAGTGAGCAGACCATCGAAGAGCCAGCAACGCCGCGCCTTCACGTCGTCTCGTGCTGTCTCCGTGAGCTCCACTGAAAGAAATTGACCGCCACATCCATTAAAAGCGGACACCGTGGTAAGCTTCAAAGGTTGACAGTGCAGCAACACAACACGCTCAATCGCCAATGACATCTGCAGTGCCTCACGAAGCGGAAGCTCTGAGCCGTCCTGGAAAGGAACGGTGAACGGCGACGCGGCTGTGTCATACTGCGTTAGACAGAATAGAAACAGTCGCTTTGCCCCCGAGGAAGCCAGCTCCTCAAGTAGGCTGCGCATTTGAGTTGCATTCGAATCCATCACAGTGGCCACCTCAAACCCATAGCGATTCACGAGAACCTCGCGCAGCAGCACGAGTTCACTCAACTCCGTTCCACTCATGACTACATCACCTTCCCAGAAGAGAACTGCCACACTTTTTCCGGCCCACTGCTTGACAACCTCACTGGAAACTGTTGTTTGCAACGGCATCTCCTCTGTTAGGCGCCTTACCAGCTTCTTATTGTTGTTTGTATCCCCAAATGCATCTGTTTCTGCAGCTGTGCATATGACAAACTCACGAACACTCTCACCTGACACGACTGTGTCTCTGCAGCAAAGCTGCAAGGATGAACAGACGGCAATAGACTGTTGCTCACTGCCATGGAAAGCCTCTACTTGTTGTGCAAAGGCCTTCTTCACGCGCTGCACGCGAGCGCTCAGCGACGGGTTGCCCTTTACAGTCGCGTTCTTCTCAAGATGAAGGATCACCTTGCTTACGTTTTGAATATCACTGAGTGTCGTGTGTTCAATAAAGTGTTGCTCACCTGCAAACATCCTTTTTTCGATCCGCGGCAATAGCAGAAGCTCGTTTCTTGCCCCGCCAGGAACGCAATCTCGCGGAAGCTGACTCCAGAGTGATTCAGACGCGCTCTCCCTTGAAGCCGTGTCCCCTGCTTGCTCTTCCGTGCTCTGCTTCACGTCAGTCGACTGCGTCGTCGGAGCCTCCTCGCGAGGGGAAGGCTCCTTGGCTGCCGATGCCGCCTTCGCTTCTTCTCTGTCCCTAGCCTGGCTCGATGGCTCTTCTGGCGCCGCCTTTTTCGATTCACACTTCCTCTCTCGTTCCTCCTCTTCTTCGCCATACTGTTGCTCCTCCTCCTCCGCATGTTCTTCCTCCGCGCAATTGGAGTCTTCGGAGCTGGTGTCACGATTCGAAATGTGCTGTAGATTTATTTGCTCTCGTATGTCCGCAACCGCCTCATGCACAGACGGATCTGTGGATGTGGCCTCAACCAAGTCCAATAGCATGGAGTAACGGTCAAGCAGCTCCTCTGGGACCTGACCCTCCCGCAATTGCTCTGAGATCTCCAAAAGTAATCGGGCAACACTGTTCCCATCCACCGCATCGCCTGCTTCCACTTCTGACTGAGGAGTCACATTTGGTGTACCTGAGGGGTCGCGAGCAGCTGCCGGAGGGTTTTGGGATCCCCTCAATGCATCACGGGGGGCGTCGTCTCTTGCTCCTTCTAGTTGAGACGTCATATTTGCGCCAGTTCGAGCGTTCTCCTCAGGTTGAGAGAGAACTTCACGCGGTTCTTCGGCAGCCACATTCCCCGTGTTCGGCTCCGCGGTGGGGAGGTTCGCGCCCACCGCGGACTGCAGTTGCTGAATACGGCTGAGGACCTCCCCAACGAGATTCACAACCTGTGGGTAACGGCGCCATGGCAGATTTTCTTGATCTGCCTCGCGTAGTGCCTGCTCCACGGTTGCCATGACTGAGGCCAGCTCCGTGGGTGATGGCAGGGACGATGCGGAGAGCTGGTTCTTCAACGACGAAAAGATGCGGATGAGTTCCCGAGGGCTCAGACGGTTCATCTCCCCCACAGTGTTACCCTCACCGGAGGCACGCCGTATCTGGGCGTCAAAGTCATCCCTGAGATGCCGTTCCTGCGCGGTGGTGAAGCCAACGGAGTCCACCATCTCCAACAGCCCAAGGAGAGGCTGCATCTCCTCTGCAGAGAGCACAATGCGATTATTATTGCTCTTGCACAGCTCCGCAGTGATGTCTGTCACCGCCTTAAAAAGTTTTCGCCGCTCCCCCATGATGTCTTCCCTCCCTGTCACTCTATTGATCATGGCTGCTTCATCCGTTGGCTCCTCATCCTGAACATCAGCATCGTCATCGCCATCGTTGTCTTCGTCCGCCTCGTTGCCGTCATCTTCCTCCTCATTATCTGCGGCGGCGGCGGCAGCCGCAGGCCCCCTGTGCGCTTCTGCCTCAGCAGCGCCCACAGGTCTTCCAGTCGGAGAAAACGATTGAAGCTGTGCTGTGAGACGATTCAGAATGGGCAGGAGTGAAGCCGCCGCTCCGCCCATTTGAGCACACTCCTCTTCTAACCTGGTCACCCTTTGCAGCAACCGTCTGACGATGAGTTGCCGCTGCTGCTCGGTGGAGGTTCGAAACTCCTCGGACTGCAAAACGGATAGCACCTCTTCCACCTGTGCCACAACGCGTTGGGGGCCAGCAACAGCCTCTTCTGCGGAGTCATCACGCTTCGCGGCGATGTCCCTAAGCGTCTCGTTGATAGGCGACAAGAGTCGCTCCACCGCAGCGCGTTCCCGGGGCGAAAGTAGGGACAGCGCGGAGACAATTTTCTGCAGCTGCGGGATAATAGATCTCGCGGCATTTTTCTTCGAGTTCGTGTCTGCCCGCTTAAACCCATCAGAGCTAATGAGGTCATGCATCCGACTCAGGTGAGAGGAAATGCTGAGAAAAAGTGGCGTGGGCCCTGGCACGGCTGACCCCTCCTCCTTCCTCACTTCTGCCTGTAAAATTTCCCTCAAGGGCTCAATAAGCTCTCTCAGCTGATCGCACCCCTCACACCGTGCGCAGCGTTTTTCAATGTCGGCGAGGCGCGCCAAACTCCTCTGCGACGCCTCACTCTTCCTTCCAGGGGACATCGTCTCGTATTCATTCGAATTGATGTATTCAAACAGTTTCTCCAGCTCCAGTAGCGCCTTGTCTAGGGCATTGCCTTGCCACTCCGCTTCCAATGGGTTTGTCGCCGTGGCAGATGGAAGTGCCTCCCTGTTTCCTCCGGCATTACGGGGAACATTTCTTCCTTCATCCTCGTTGCCTTGGCTCTCGCCCAAGCTTGTATTGACGCCTCGGCGATCCTCCAAGAGCGCATCCACATATGTATTGCCCTTTTCAACCATTGCCGCCACAGCCGCCGTGTCCTGGTTCAACGGGAGGCCTGCAACCTGCTGCCGCAGGCGCCGCATACTCTGCTGCAGCTGAGACAACATTTGTCGCCGTACCGCGGGGGGAGCACGGGCCAATTCATCCGAGTGGAGAACTTGAATAAGGGCCTGGAGCACAGCAACAACGCCCTGAAGATTTGTTGGCTCATTCGCATTCTCATTCTCTTCAGCTTCTTCAGCAGCGCTTGCACGCCCCGACTCCAATTCCTCCCGTGTAAGCGATTCCATTTGCTCCAGCACCGTCACAACGTTTCCTGCCACTTGATTAATGATCTCAATCGCACCGGGATCACTCCACGCTGCCGCCTCCTTTTGAATGTTTCGCACATCCTTCAGCATGTCCGAGATGCGAAGCAAACGCTCTGCGGGTTCCACGTTCATCAGCTGGGATGACTTGAGAGATGTAAAAACGTCTCGTAGCCGCTTCACCATGGGTGCCAGCAGCACTGCTTGCGATTCTGCGGCCGCCTGCGTGGCCCGTCCCGCTGTTGGCGCCGCTGTCGTCGCTGCCGGCGTCGAACCTTCTTGAAGCTTCTGCAGAACCAACTGGCACTTCCTCCGTAGTGGCTCGCCATGCTGTGGCGGCAAGCGACGTGTAACCTCCATAACATCCTTGACCTGCGACCGCACTCTCTCGCGCAGCGACGCCAGCTGGGGGTCGTTGCTCGCCTGCATGTCAGTGGAGTCAAGCAGGCGCAAAAATCCTTCCACCATCCCGTGCAATACCCTCAGCTGTGTCTCCAACTCGCTGGGCTCTGCTAGGGCCGTTGTGGCATCACTCGGCCGGGGATGGACAATAAGGGCTTCCACCTTCTTTACAAGAGGCATGAGTTTGGACTGGTGTTCTGGGGCAAGCTGTTGCATCTCGCCCAAAAAAGCCTGCATCCACTCCAGGCACTCCTGCCGCTGCCTTCGCTGCACTTCAGGGGAAGCACTCTCAAACTCACTGGAGGTGAGTAGGCTGGCTATCGCGGTGAGCCTCTTTAAAAAGCTAGCAACACGATCTGCTTCCGTCTCCCCTGCGTCCTCACCAGACGCGGAGACGGGCTTTACACCAGGCTCCTCATGCGTTGCTTGCCCCCGCAGTTGGCGAAGCCCACGCCGAATAAGGAGCTGGTCACGCATCTTGGGCGCCAACTTGGCGATGTTATCCCCCTCCTCCAGGAGAAAAAGCACCGACGCATCCACATCATTCTTGCAGAAACTCTTCACTGCCTCTTCAGAGGCGCCGAGTGACCGCAGCCACTGCGCCACCTGCTGCACAGTCCACTGGGAGACCGGCACGTCAGTAAAGGGTGGCTCCTGTTGCTTCTTCCGTGACTTCGCCAGGCGGAGAAGTAATATGGCAGTCGGGACGGAAAGAGCAGCCGCAGAGGCCACCGCAATCGCACGCGGAGTGAAAGTGGGCATCGCCTCTTCAACAGTTAGGGATTATAATACTTACACCTTTTCTGTGGGGCAGGCCAAGGGTGAGGAAAAAAAAAACAGGAAGCGTACCGAACACGACAAAAAGACACAGAAGCACACCAGGTAAAAAAGAAAAGAAAATCAGCAGGTATCCTTTGGCACCTCTAGGTGGATATTCACGTCCAGGCGATCCACACACACACACACACACATGTCAGCACCGATTCACCACCCTCACAAACGCTTCGCATTCTCACCTACTTCTTGTTTCTTTTGCTTGTGTGTGCTCCCCCCACTTTTTTTTCCAGGTTTGGTTGGGAGTTTCCCCGCCTTTTCACTTCTTTGCAGTTCCACCTGCTCTTCTCTCCATCACTCTTGTCGCCACTGCAGCCACGGCGCCCCCCCGCCCGGAGGTGGTCAGCGTTCTCAACCCTCTCGAGGTAGCTCCGCTGAAGTGTCCTCGGCTAGCGCGCCTTTCTTCCTCTTTTCGCTGCCGAAGAGCTTGTCATAGTAGTAGCCACCACGTGCAAAGTGGCTCTTATCCGGCAGAAGTGATTTCCGGTGCTCCAAAACGAGACCTGAAACGTGCACATACGCCACCACAGCAAGCAGCCAGATGGCAAACAACAACCCACAGAATACAAGAAAGGGCGTTGTGAAACGGCACTCATTACCCATTGGCGTGACGTCGCAGGTGGAAATGGGGCAGGTGCACTGATACAGCCGCAGATCCTTGCCCACGAAGCAGCTCTCTGAATCTGTGAAGATCCAGCTTTTATTGCCCACCTGGCACATCCCTACTCTTGAGGCCCCAACCTTGCTGTGAGAAGCGGAAGAGGGACATCACACACGGAGGACGCCCTGCCGGAAGATAAAACAACGACAACAGGAACAACACAAAGACATGATGTCTTTCTGTTGTTTAAGCGGAAGTGGAGGGGGCGAGAAGAAAAGAGCAAGGAACAAGCGTGAGTCTGGCTCCGAGCGTAGGTGTTCGCCGGCTTCGTGTGCGGCGGGAAAGCAGATGCTACAAACCTGTCCCGCGCCAGTTGCGATGAGCGGCCTATGGAAGACCCGATTCCGGGCCTGCACGCAGACGCTCACGGAGGTCACTCAATTTGCCTCGCATCTCCGCGGTGTCGTCTTGAACGGCGGACGTCTCCCTGCGGACGGTCGCCAATTCGTTCTTCAGCGCGGTCCATTTCGTTTCCTGCTCGGCAAACCCAGCCAGCTTCTGACTGACGGCGTCAATTTGCTTCTGTAGTGAACGCAACCGCAAGACGGCGCCGTGAGATGGCTGCATTGACAGCCACTTTAAACACTCTTTAAGTGCCGAATTTCGTCGCTGGAGGGTGGCAACCTCCTCCTGCAACTCCTGTTCATGGTAGGTAGAGGCCATCTGCACAAAGGCGTCGCCCGTGTCCTCAGAGGGGATGAGCTCCATTTCGAAGGGCGTCATATTCGCCTCTGCCGTTCGCGGCAGCAGCGCATCTGAAAGTGGTATTTGAATGGGCCCTGACTTTGGTGCGGCGCCGTACACAATGCGGTCCAGTGTGTGAACGGTGTCCGCAAAGAAGTTGCGAACCTCGTGCAGCTGCAGCGTGCTCTGCTGCGCGCGCACTTCCTCCTCATGAAACAACTCAGAGGCCTCGGCGGCAAACTTCCGCAACGACTCCGTGCAGGTAAGTTCCAACTCCCCTGCCAGGGCCCCGATATCGTTTTCAGGTTCCTGCAGTGCCTTTTCAGCCAGCACACCGACAGCCGTATCATCGCCGTCACACAAGGCCACCTGGCGAATAGCGCTCACAATATGGACCCTCTCCTGCAGGGCGCCGTTTAACGTACAGAGCAGCCGCAGCAGTGTTTCTTGCAAGGCGACATACCTCTTTAAAAAAGCCAGTTGCAGCTCCACTGCCGGAGCCTTTCGTCTCTCCACTGAATCTTTTAACGCACGCCTGAGAGCCTCTGCACCGCTTAGCCGTTCCAACAAATTATTCGTCAGTGTCCGCAGCCACTCACCCTTCACAGATGTGTGGCGCGACTTCGTCGCCGAGGTGGTCGCTTCCTGAGTTTCCTGCATCTCACTCAACTGCTGCAGCGTCGACGTGCCTGTGGCAAGCAGCCTCCGCAAGCGAAGCACCTCATGCCCCAGCGCCTCCGTATGAGATTCAAGCTCCTGGCAAAGAACAACGGCGGAGGCCGTCGCAACAGAAGGTGCATTTTGCCTACACACCGCTATAACGTTGGGCAACTGCAGCAGTTTGTGCAAAGCAGACTCCAAGTGTCGCAGTGTGGCCTCCAAGTGTTGATTGCCCAACGCTGTCTCCTTCCACTCTGAAGGCACAGGAAAATGTGCGTCACTGCCGCCAACGAGGGCTCGACTAGCGGATCGGGTGTACCACTCCAACGAGCCCCGCGCCAGCTCACGCAGCGAGGATGCTTCCGCCTCCACACATGCTTGTAGAGCCCTTGTGGATTTGTACGTCGTGTCATAGCGTGCCACCACTTCTCCTAGCATCGCCCCCAGTGCCTCCACGAGTGGGAACGCCGCATGTGCCACCCCTTCAGCGCGCATTTTTTCAATCGCCTCCTCGCAGAGCTTAAAACGAAGTTTTTCTGCCTCTGCATCGAACGCTGCAAGGTCCGGAAGCTCAATTGTTGCACCAAGAATACAAGAAACGAGGCGTTCCTTGAGATGGGCAGGGAGGCTGCCGTCACTGTCCTGTGCTAGCAACCGTTCTGTAAGGTCTGTGACGGCGCGTTGAAGGACCCCGTTCTTCCTCTCAACGTCTCCCAACAGCTCCACCGCTCCGTGACTTGTGTCGCACTCAGTGAGTGCCGCACTCTGTGCTTTTCGCAAGCCGTCAATCTCCTCCTGTGTGCGTAGAATGGTCGCCCTTAAGAGCTCCACGGTTTCACGTAGTTCCCGATTGTTTTGTGACATGTGGTCAAGCTCGTCACTACAGCGTTTTTCCTGCTCTTTCAGCGCAGACTCCAAACCCGCAGCCTTCACCACTAGTGCATTAAACTCATCCTCCTCTTGACGCTCCTCATACCCCGTGAGAAGCTCCTCCACCGGAGGAGGAAGTCCCACGCCGGACGCACCTGCATCCGTCCCCGCATCCGCCTCCTCCTGCAACGGCACGCCATCGTTACTGGCCGTGGCAGCGGCGGTGGAGGCGGGAATTGCGTCTGGCGCAGGGGTCGGCCGGGCAGTAGCCGCCGCCCCTCGAGAGGCGCACTCACGCTTTGGGTCCTCGATGCCTGCCTCGTCGCGTCCCCTCTTCCTGGAGGCGACCTCCGTGGAAGCCGTCGTCTCGTCCTCCTCCTCCTCCGCGAACGGATTATACTCAAACGCCGACAACTCCATCCGCTACTGTGCGAAGCCAACAACAAGAAGACACACACACACACACACACACACACACGCGGGAAAGAAAAACAAACAAACATGTGGTGGGAGGATCTGAAGGCGTTCAGTAAGGAAGGAACAGTTACAAATAAAGGCGTCAACGAAAATTAAAGAGAGGCGGAAGTCGGATGCCACGTCAATTTTCTCAAAAGGTGCATGCCGCTCCGTTATTCAGCTCATCAAATTTACTTTTTTTGTTTTGGCACCTTTTTCTTTTTTTATTTCGTTCTTCCCGTGGGTATGTGTGTGTCGACGGACGACTGCAGCCACAGCCTTGCCCCGCCCCTTGCCATCCCCCCGTCCGCCTGTTCTGCCCGGCGTCCCCCCCCCACCCCACACACACCCCACCCCACCCCCGGGTTGACCGTGGGCAACGCCGGCAGAATGGGGGCGCAGCAACACCAACGAATCCGCCTTCGTCGCCTGGAGGGTCTCGTGTGGGGAGTGGCGCGGGCAGGAGTCGTTGAGTGGGGCCGGCGGAAGGAATAGAGTGAGGGAGGGAGAGAAAAAGAGCAACATTGCAGATTAAGTCCCTAAAATGGACGGGAGATCAGCAGCTGCGACCAGCGCAAACCACGGCTCGTGCATGGTGCGCTCGTCACGCTCAAATCCCCGCCCACCCTTCTTTGCGGTGCAACCCTCCAACACGGCATACCTTAGCTCGTCAAACGCTTCGGAAAAGGTGTTTTTACGTACAAGTCTACTACCCTTTCTATCACTTATCCCTATAAGAAAACAACTACCTTTCAAACATCGGTTGGAGTGTGTCCCACCTCTCAATGAGGCATCATTCACCTTACGAGGGTACGGACGCGCGTCCACAAGTCGCTCAACGGCGTAAATCAGCATCCGAAGTTTACTCATCACGTAGGAGCTCCATGCGGCCAGTGCCACCTCCGCTTTTTCCTCCGTTTCCTCTTCGCAGGAAACATGGACCACGAGAAAAGTGGCATAATCCTCCCATATGCGATAGGGCTTCCATATCTGCTCTAGCGGCGTCTCCGCGTTGGACAGAAGACGATGCGCGGATGTTAACTCGGCGTAAAAAACCTCCAAACCACAGCGACCGACATTGCGGGCGTCGTTGACATACGGGTAGGCGGGATTGATAACAGGCAACAGATCGTCACGACACTCCTCACGCTGCGAACCCCAGGAGTCCGGAAGACCCGGAATACGACTTCGGGGCTGTAGCGATGCGGTGATATACACCGGCGAGATATGATCGTGGCGACTCAGCCATTGGGTGTAAAACAGGAAAAAAAAGCGCAAGACGACGTTGGGGTGAGAAGCAGGCATGACTTGACAAGCTCGAGCCACCATCACGGCAAGAACCACGCCACTTGGGTACGAGTAGTGACTTCCATAAACCTGCCGCTGCACCGCCCACAACTTCACGGCTCTAAGTACCGTCGTGAAGACGTCGTATGAGACAGGTACACGTCGCTTTAATTCCAAGACGGTACGTAATCCGTTTGCGCCGGGGCGGGTTGCCCGTGAAACCTGAAACAGAAAGGAGTCATCTAAGAGTTGCTCAACGGTGGGTGGGGCGGCCAGAGCCACCGATACAAACACGACATCTACACAAGTGCCCTCACAACTGAACTTCACCACAGGGACTCTAGCCGGGACCACGACCACGTCTCCGACCAAATGCCGCAGCAGTGAAGGGAATTCGCAAAAGAACACCTCCGCTGTGACCTTAAAAGGGCAAAACAGCACACTGCCAAGAGACACAGCGTTGACAAATGCACACGAGGTGGGCAGTGAGGAAGAAGGGAAGGAATGGTTTCGACACAGCGCGGACGTTCCAGGGGGAAGGCCCGGCACAGAGAGGAAATGGAGAGAGAGAAAGAAAAAAAACAAGAAAAAAAGAGGGAAGAGAAGAAGACGTTGTTGAGGGTTGTTCAAGGCGTGGCAGAAAAAGAAAAAGTAACAAAAAAAGTGAGAGAGGAAGACGGATCCCAACAGAGAGGTGGTAGTACTACAAGGGAAGGGTAGCGTGATGTGGAACCCAATACAGCGCGCGAGAGGAAGCCACGGAGGGTGGAAAAGAGGGGCGGGGGGTAGGAAAGAACTCACCATACATATCAAGATCACTATCTGCAACAGAGGCGTTCAGTCCGCAGGAGCCAAAAGGATGGGCTCGCACCCAGCGCTCTTGTGGATCCGTGGTCAGACGTTCCACCAGACGGTAAGCCGCAAACTCAATGAGGCGGATTGCTTCACTCACTCTGGTGTCAGGCACGGCCGCCACCTCCTCGCAGAGTCTTTTGGACTCCACCAAGTCACGTGGCTGTACAGGGGGAACTTCAAGTGGTCTCGTCGGTCCGTACAGCCCCTCCATCCCTGCCGTCCTAGCTACGAGGTTAGCAAAGTCGGTTTCCAAGAAACAAACAGGCAAATAAGCAATACAGCAAAAGGCACCAAAAAAAAATAATGTATAAGGAGAATGAGATCATCGCAGAGTAGAAGCAGCAAACAAAGAAGGAAAAACAAAAACAAAAAAAGCAGCCTGCACAGATTGAAATGGTTCCGCCAAAGCATTCTGGGCCCGTCTAAAAATCATAGAAGAAACAGCACAGAAAGAAAATTTGTGGTTCGCTTCCATCAATCAAGAATACAAAAACAAAAGAGGGGAAATTGCAACGAAAATCAAGCGAAAATGAAAAGGAAGGTAAATGGATAGATATAGAGAAATGGAGTTACAAAACAGAGAACGCCCCCTTGGGTGCTGTCCTAATGCTTCCTCAACCTCCACTACAGCCTCAGGCACGTTGTTGACGGACGCCAGGAAAGGGAAGTTTCCCATTAGAATTTGCCAACAGTTTTACCACGTCCTGGTGCAGCACACTGGTCGGGTGGGGGATCACAAAACGGTCGCCAGTGGACACTACAATGGCCTGTCCGTCCACCAGATCCTCGATTGAGGTGATCTCACCACCAGTGGCATCATACAACTTCTCCACCTTCTTCCCCAGCGAATGCCACTCCAACTCACGCTCAATGGTGTTGACAATTGCCCTCATCGTCTTGTGAATAGGACGAAGAGTCACCGTACGGAAAGGCAGTGGGTCGTAGCGAGCATCCCCATACTCTCCATTCGAGAAGACCCGTACAGAAATGGGTTTCACAATGCCTTTTCCTGAAACTCTTTGCCGGGTTAGCTGCCCGCTCGGGCTGGGAGACGTTTTTGAAGGTTGTGCTGGCGGAGCCGAAGAAATGGCTGCCGTCGCAGGTGCATGTTGTGACTCCAAATTTGAAGTATGAACAACAACGGCCCCCGCCGTAGCTGGGGTTGCCGTGGGGCGCACAATTTTCTCAACCCCAAGGGTTCTCTTTGTTGTCGATGTCGTTGCTGATGTTGTAGGCGCAGTGCTCTTCAATTTGCTTTTGATTGCAGGCTCAGGACAGTAGACATGGCCAGGCGTCACCACATACGACATCCCGCTGCGAATCGCATCCACCCTCTTGATCTCTATTCCATCTATAGTAAACACCCGCTTCGCTGTATAGCCCAGGAGATTCCAGTTCAGCTCATCGGTTATCCTAGAAAGCACTGCCTGCAGCGTGTCAATGTCTTTTTGCAAGACAATGGAAGTAAACTGTAACCCCGTTTGCTGTGGAAGCGCGCCCGCCACCCTGCACCGTATGCTGTCAAATCTCGGAATTCCTGTAGCCTTGTCGCTCAGAGAAAAGCGTGCCCTGTAGCCTGTAGGACAATTTGTAGGGATGCCATTGTCCTTGGTGCTGCTTGCCAAGGGACTTTTCCGTCGCTTTGCGGACTTGTACGCCATAGAATCTACGCGAGGCGTCTTTAGAAGATTGTCCTGTTCACCTCGACCCATCACTGGCGCTGCAGTTGCCGCATCAAACTGGATTGGACTTCCCAGACGCTCCTTTGCAGAGACCTCTCGTCTTTGTCGCTCTGGGAGCACTTCCTTCACGAGACCGATACTCAGATCCATCTTTGCATAAAAGGCCAAATTTTCGGGGTCCAGTTGAGTCCTATCGGACGCAGACGGATCCCTATTTGTGAGGGCCGGAGAGTTCTCCTTAGGTTCCTCACTGAGAGTCTCTTCCTCTGCCTTACAATCTTTTTCCACTGCCGGTGGCAGCGCGTTTGTTGCCGTTTTATTGGCAGCAGCGGGGGTTGTTGTTGTTGTTGTTGTTGTTGGTTGGAGCAGCAACAGGGAAAGAGGTGGCCAGCGTGGTTGGCTCGGACTGCTTCAGCCTTAGGTTGGCCTTGCGGGAGGGCATATTAAGTGTGCTCCATGAGGGCTGTGGAAGAGGCACAGGCCTCGGTGGAGGCACAAACTCCGTCACGTGAATGTCCTCCGGGTCAAGGTGGGCCTCTTTGTGTGTCGACGGTGGCGCAAGCGTTTTCTTTGGTTTTGAGCCTTGCCCCAGCAAGAGACATTCAGTTAAAAATACTTTGGTCGCGCCGTCGGCAAAAGCAAGTTCAACAGCCGATTTGCCCTGAAACGAGGGCAAGATGCAGACCACTTTGCCCCTCTCCCCGAGATACACCTGCTTCACAGGATCAGGGAGAAAAATCCCACTCTCTGCCATAATTAGAGTGTGTACGTCATCAATTGTTTGTACATAATCCCCAACAGAAACGGTACTGTGGCCCAATTGTAGACTTGTCGGCTCCTCCTCCATTGCCTTCTTTCGTGCAGCATCAGCTATCTCTGCGGGAGTCATTTCCGCATTCCTAGAGGCAAGTTCATCAAAAGCGCGCCGCTCCCTCTCCCGCTCCTGCCGAAGCAACTCAATCTTCTTCTGAATCTCCTCACGGCGGGAAGCTGCAGAACGCATCACAAAACGGTAGTGACTTAGAAAGTATATCCACCAACACTTTACCCCGAACAAAACAGGAAAAAAAATAAGGAAATAAACCAAAATTTCATAGACGCTTCACACGCAAACAAACAAAAAGGACACAGCAAGCTCTCGTTGTACAACCTTATCGCCCGCAGTACAAACAAAATTACAAGTTAACTACCAAACACCTAGTTCCCAAAAGAGCTCCTAAACACTCCACCAGAAGTAGATGGACCAAATACGTTCTTAGAAAGCATGCCGCCACTACCAGTGTTACCAAAGCTGAAAGGGTTCGACGGGGCTGCGGGCTTTTCAGCAGGGGCCGCACCACCGCTGCCGCCGCCAAAGCTGAAAGGGTTCGACGGGGCTGCGGGCTTTTCAGCAGGGGCTGCACCGCCGCTGCCGCTGCCGCCAAAGCTGAAAGGGTTCGACGGGGCTGCGGGCACAGCGCCAGAACCAACGCCGGGAGCGGGTTTGGTCAACGAGGTTGCAGCGCCAAAGGAAAACGGCTTGGAGGCAGCAGGTGCGGTGGATGTGGACTTCTTGGCCTCCTCCTCGTCACTCCCAGCATTCGGAGCAAATCCGTCATCCTCGGGAATCACGGCAGGCGGGCCGCTCTTCAC